CTAAGGATACACAACCTGTATAATGCAATTTTTTTAAACATAGGTGTTAATATCGTACCATATTGGAAGTCGACGCACAAATCTAAAAACATTAATTTCGAGTTTTTGAATTTTCCCATTCCAAGGCAATATAAAATAAATAATTAATTAGGTAAATTCATAGTTTTAATTCTAACTTGATTTATTTTATTTAACATTTAAGGCAAATGTGATTTCCAAACAGAAGATAAGTTCCATATCTCTTTAATTACATAATTGAAAGCATTAAATTTATTTAACAGTTATTGTTTGGCAACAAAGCCACCGCTGGAACTGCCGCCTATTACCAAGTAGAACATTTACCACGCTAAATTTCATTGTTGGAAGCCGGCTAACAAAAGCCTGCTTCCATTTCGGGTTGCCAATTTCCAGCATTTAAGAAGCAGTATGTGGCGATACGCTATATTGTCTGTGTTATTACCCAAGTGTATTGTCAGTATGTCTTGGCTTAGATGTTCAACTGGTCAACTAATTTAATCCGTCCTAGAACTGTTATCTGTTGGAACTAAAATACACCTGACCCGTAAGGCCCGCGTACTGTCCAGTAAAATACTTGAAGTTGCCGGACTCGAGTACTGCAGTTTGGGTAATTTTCCACATCTTCGCGACTACAAAACGTTCGATCGTTGAAGCGAATTAGCTGATTTCCCCAGTCGCACTATGGTACGAAATGCCTAAAAGCTGGCCAAAAATAAAAATTTATTCCAAATTATACAATAGTGGGTATACTGAGGTTTTGGGCCCAACTGATTACGAATTTGATATCAAAATTGAAAAATTCAAAATGGCGAACCCAATATGGCGGATTAAATTTAAAAAAGTCGAATAAACTGACAAAAATAGGTGTTTCGGACAAAACTGATTCTTTTGACAACACTGATTACTAATTTCATATTGAAATTGAAAAATTTTAAATGTCGGATCCAATATGGCGGACGAAATTTGACAAAAGTGGAATAAACTAACGGAAGTGGATATTGGGGTTTTTGACCGCACTGATTATGCGAAAATTCAATTTATTGTAAAGCAGACAAATTACAATTCTTAAAAATTCGTCATTTGATCATGTTATACTGTTGAATATTGCTGAAAGTCAAGGGCTCAGAGTTAAAGCTTTCTTTCTTTAATATTATTTATTACTCACATTTTAATACGTATAAATGAATACTTGAGTGTTTTGAGTTTGGAACTTAGCAGATCTGATCTGGTCAAACGGACCTCGGAATCGGATTAAGCGACCTCAAAAACGTATAGATACATAGGTTTACTTTGTTGGAAATTGATTCTGTACATTTAACCTTGAATTGGCCTTAACGCAGACTTGATCGTATCAAACGGACACCGGATTCGTATAAACCGTCCCAAAAAACGTATAGATATGGAGGTTTACTTTGTTGATAAATGATTCTCTACATTTAGCCTTGAACTGACCTTAACGCAGACCTGATCGGATCAAACAGACACCGGTTTGTCTTTCAAATATTCCACTTTTTTCTGTGGGGCTGTGAATTGACAAAATCGCATCGACTATCCATTTCTATGTCATACTCGAGTTTTTTTTCTCTTTATTTACTTATTGCCCTTTACTATTCTCCTTATATGTATTTTTCCAAACATTATTTTTACTTATTTTATAATAAGTGCAATACTCTTCTCACTTTTTGTTCGACATTAACGAAATAATTGAATTACGATTTATTACAACTTTTGCTTTATTCATATCGTAAAATTGAAAGCGCAGCTAAGCCCATTTTTTTTTCAAAATATTATAGTAAATTGATCATAAATTACGGGTCAATAAGTAATTTAGGCTTATAGTGCCTTATATATAACTTTTAAGTTTACTTTTGATTGACTTTCGTAATAAATTTAAGCATTATTTGTCATAAACAATAATGAAAAATAAGTGGACAATGAATAATTTATGAATAATTTATAATGTTGAAATACTTTACATACCTCCTGGAACAACGTCCATTTTATTATGACTTGTATCAGAACAATAAATAAATTTTTACAGCACTTTGAACATATGATGTACTTTTGTGTTCGCTTAGCTCTAGCTCCAGTATAAACGGCAAAATGTTTCCACCGGTCAATTTGAATAGCCCAACTATCCCTATTGCCAACCTCATACTTACAAAATTCCAAATATGAACTTTTTTTTAATTTTTGGCCACTTTTTAGGCATTTCGTACCGTAGTGAGACGTCTTGAATTTTGCAATTGGTTTCAAAATCAAAGGGCAACGGATCACAACTTTATTAACAAAGTGCTATGGATGGATATTTAGCCATACTGTCATTTTAAATAGATACGTACCATACTCTTTGAAAAACAATAAGTCACTAAGTGTACGTACTACAAACTGAGTAATTCATTGAATATAATAATAAAAATACTAACCTAATATTCGAAAACAATTATTATTCTTACACATTTGTTTTTATTAACAAATAAATAATACTTGTTAATATTTGAAATGTAAAAAATATCTTATTCATTCATGTGTCTAGGTAAAAAGGTCGGTTTTGTCGTTCACTATTAAAAATGCAGTAAAAACTAGGTTAGTGACCGAATATGATAGGTGAAGATTCACTCTCGATAAACCTTTGTAGGTAAGCGGTCAGGGGCGGTCCGAAAAGGGGTTTAATTTTTCAGCGTAAATATGAGTTTTAAAATGTTTTAATCGTATTTGTATTCTACTCATTTTTCCCTACCTTTTCTTAAAATTAATGACATTATGAATGAATCAACCTGTATATAAGATTTATTCCTCAAACATATTTTGTAAGCTTTTTTTTAATATATTTCTGCCGTACTGAAAATATATATATAATTTTTAATGTCTTATACTGAAAGAATCAACTGATTGATTTCATAATCAAAAGCATACCTTGATTAAGTTTTTTTAGCACAAGGGTTTATTTAT